CTCGATTCCCCCTCAGTCTGTGGGCTGGAAGTTCAGGAGGCAGCCACTGCCCCCGCCGAATTCAGGGACTGGAGCTGAGACCACCGGCTTCTCTCTCTCCCCTCTGACACAGACTTTTCCCATTGACCTTCTAAGTTGTCTTTGGCGTTCATGGGTTGAGAAGTCTGGAAACCACCACTGCTGCCCGCGATTCAGCCCTCTGTGGCCTGCTCCAGGGTTGCTGTGGCCTGTACGCCCACGCTGAACTGTGCTCCTCTCCCAGCTTGGTGCAATATATACCTTTCTGATCAACCATACAGGTTGTCTTGGGCTGGAAATTTGTTTCACTCTGTCTTTTTGTGGGTTCTGCTGCTTTAGAATTTGTTTAGAGCCATTTTTTTATAGGTATTTGGAGGGGTTTGGGGGAGAGCTCAAGCAAGTCACTGCTTTTACTCCGCCATTTGGCTCCCCCTCTATCATTCTTTTACAAACATGCTAATCCCTCCTGTTGGGAAATGTGGACCTCACTATCTTCTCCTTCTTACACAACAAGGTTTTTTGTAGACCTGCAATTTATAAGTAAGTACCTCTGAGGGAAAGTGAAATGCCAAAGTGAAAATGTAAATTTGGTGGGTCACTTAGGAGGCCAATTATGGAAGATAAGTCAGTTGATCTTTTATCAAGTACAAATTTGGAGGAATGGGAGGAGAAACATACAAAAACTCTGACCTTACCTTGGCTGTAAGAAAAACATTAAAGTGTTCATTGAAGGAGAGCACTGGATGATCTGCAATTCTTTTTAAGAATTTATCCAAAGCTTTTCTTCTAGTCTCAACAAACTCTTCAGAAAAGCGATCCACAACTCCTTTTACTACAAATTTCTCTGGAAGAGGCTATGAAGACAGAGAAAGGAAAAGTGCTCAGATTAATTGACAGAATTGGGGAGAAATAGGTCTAGCAATGCACTTTTCATTACTTTTTTTTTTTGGTACATACTATTTTATTTTTTCCAATTTCAAGCGAAGATAATTTTCAATATTCATTTTTTATAAGATTTTGGCTTTCAAATCTTTTCTCCCTCCCTCCCATCCTCCTTCCCCAAGATGGCATGCAATCTGATATAGGTTATAGTTGTGCAATCATGTAAACAAATTTCCACATTAGTGATATTGTGAAAGAAGAAACAGGACAAAAAGGAAAAGCCACACACAAACACACACACACACACACAAACGGTAAAAATAGTATGCTTTGATCTGCATTCAGATTCCGAAGTTCTTTCTCTAGATGTAGATAGCATTTTCCATTCTGAGTCTTTTGGACTTACTGTATTGCTGAGAAAAGCTAAGTCAGTCACAGCTGATCATCGTATAATATTGCTGTTTCTGTGTACAATGTTCTCCTGGTTCTGCTCATTTCACTCAGCATCAGTTCATAGAAGTCATATATAAAGCATATATAAAGTAGTCATTTTGACATTGTTGTCCTCTTCCAAGTTTGTGTTTTGATTTTCTCTGTTGCCATAGTAGCTTTCTATGGTCAGGGCTCCTTTTTTTTGGTTTTTGCTCATTTTAAAAAGTTAAGCTCTGCTCTTGGGACACAGGGTACACTGTCCCAGGTTTCTTGCACTGGGGGCCAAGGCCTGGTCAGCGGCTTTCTGAGTCAAAGCCTCTGGAGCTGGCAGCTTGTCCACTGCACTAGGGTGGCCTGGCCTAGTGGCGCCTGTTGTGTCCTGGGTTCTGGGACTGGCAGTTGACCTGCTATGCTGCGGCTGGAGGTCTCACAGCTGGCCTTCTGTGACACTGGCCAGCTGAGCCCAAATCATGGGGCCTTGGTTGCTCGCCTGTGCTGCAGCTAAGAGCCTCCCACTGGCTTGCCTGGACAGTGTCTAAAGTAGGCTGTGTTCTTCTTTCACCCAAATAAGACAGACCTTCCTAAAGTCCTTTCTAAGTTATCTTGGGCTGGAAAATTGTTTCACTTCATCTTTTTGTGGATTCTGTTGCTCCAGAATTCTTTTAAAGGCTTTAACGTTGTTTCTGAGGGAAACTGGGGAGAGCTCAGGCAACTTTCTGGCTTCTCTCCACCATCTATGCTCTGTCCCCCTCCATCACTCTTCTGGACAAGAAAATGAGCCCTAATTGAACTGATCTATTAACAGCTATCAACATTAAGGAACCATGAGAAATGCAGGATGGTTCCAGTGCCACATTTTTATCTTGCATATAGTGGGCATTCAAAAAAACTTGAATGAATGAAATAAAAGCCATCATTATTACATCGTTTCCAACACAAAGGATGTGATGGGGGTGGGGGAAGGGCAGTGGTATTCTAAAGAGGGAAGCCAATTTCATAGGATCACAGATTTGGAGATGGAAGAGATATTTGAGGCTATTGAGTCCTGAGATGGGAAATTGAGGCTCATAGAGTTTAAGGGACTTGCCCAGATTCACACAATTTGTACGTATCTGGAGTGGAATTCAAACCCATGTCTCCAAGTTCAGAGCTCTATCCACTCACTACTCTATAACACTTTTATCCTGCTTTTTAAGATACAGTTATGGTTTGGGAACCCAAGTAAGTGGCTTGGAGATCGCCTGGTATAAAGTAGGTTCAGTTAGATGTCAGAAACTGGGGAAAAATTTTTTAAGTGTCTACAAATTTCTAAAACAAGCATAGTTTTCCAAATTAACTTTTTTGGGTTTCACAAGCCTTTGGGATTTCTTAGTCAGCTACTTTCCTAAGTCTTTTTACTTGGATGCAAATAAATCATTTCACACATCATTCTGTGCTGCTTTTTGAGATATATTTCATAGTACTAAATAAAGTCACATAGTCTAATCTTTCCCATGTAGCTTTGGAAAAGATGTTTGATTTAAAGTTCCCCTGTTCCATCTTCTGGCTATCAATGCTGTGGGTGTGACTGTTTGATCCCCAAGACAGGGTGAGAATTTTCTTTCTTCAAAGCTGCCTTCTTTAATAAAGTTTTAAAATGTATGTGCAGTAGTATCTTTCACATAAAGATGTAAAAGCTTAGGTTGCAAGGTATAATACCTAAACTATATTGAGCAGGAGCTTATATATAAACTATAAATAAACTAAAGGAGAAGGCAGAACAGACTGTTCCTTCTAAAGCATTTTTTTTATTTTTAAAATACCACCTTCAAATGTAAATGTAAGACAACCCCCCACCGACCCAACAAGCTCTCCCTTTTAACAAAGAACAAGGAAGAAAAAATGCAATTCAGCAAAACTAAACAACACAACTACTGTGTCTGAGAGTATTTAATACTTTTTTTTCCACAAGGAATTCCTGCTATTCCTTTGTTATATACATGTTCCAGCTTTGCTCCTACTCATGGGCTGTTCAACAGAGCTGGGAGAAGTCACACAACCATGCTGAATGGGACCAGTACAAATTTATATTACCTCATCTCAAATGGATCCTCAAGGTAATCCTTCTACTATTCCCTATTCAATTTTCTATCCCACTTACCAAAGCAACTATTCCAAACCTTCTCCCATCAAGCTGCCCACAGCACCCTTCTTCCCCCACCTCCCATCACCATGCTTCTTCATTAATAATAATAATAATAATAACAATAATGGACATTTGAAGTAAGCTCCCTCATCTCCCTTCCTTCTTATCTCTCACATCCCTCCACTATTTCATTCTTTGCTCTAGTCTCTAATGAAGAAATGACCCTTCTCCTTGCCAATGCCAACTTTCCTTCATCCTCTCCCCTCTGTTTTCTATAGATTTACCTTTCTATCACCACATTCCTCCCATTCATTCTAATCTTGAATTTCTTCCTATCTACCAGTTCTTTCCCTGCTGCCTACAAATACATGCAAGTCTCCATCATCAAAAACAAAACAAAGCAAAACAAAAAAACCTTGAGATTCTTCAGTTTTAATACACTGTCTCTGATTTTCTTCTCAACTAAACTTGCTGAAAAAGTCATCTTCACTTGGCACTTTTACTTCCTCTCCTCTCACTCTATTCTAAACCTTCTCATGTCTCACTCTCTTTTAAACCCCAGTCATGTCTGACTATTACCCCATTTGGGATTTTCTTGGCAAAGATACTGGAATGGTTTGTCATTTCCTTGTCCAGCTCATTTTTCTAGAAGAGGAGCTGAGGCAAACAGGGTTAAATGACTTGTCCAGGGTCACACATTTAACTTATGAGTCTTCCTGATTCCAAGCCCAGAGCCCTATCCACTGCGTCATCTAGCTGCCTTTCTGGCTCCCATACTCGTCATCAAACTCAAATTGTTCTTTCCAAAATTACCAATGATATCTTAATTGCCAAATCTAATGACTTTTACTTAATTCTAAAACTTGCTGATTTATCAGCAGCATTTGACACCACTGACCACCTCGTCCCTGGCACTCTCTTCTTTGGTTGGTTGTGGTACTTTCTCTTAGTTCTCCTACCTGTCTGACCTCTTCTTTCCAATCTCTTTCCCTGGATCTTCATTCATGTCATATATACTAACTGTGAGTATACCCCCAGATTCTGTCTTGGGCCCTCTTCTCTCTATAAACTCTTACTTGGTGAATTCATCAACTCCCTGGATTTAATTAGCATCTATATTCAAATGATATCATGGTCTAGTAAATAAAGTGTTAGACTTTGGAGCCAAAAAAAACAAACAAACCTGGGTTCAAATCTTGCACCTGACATTTACTAGCTGTATGACCTTGGGTAATTCACTTTACCTCTGAGCTTTAGTTTTTTCATCGAGGTCTCTTCCATTTCTAAATCTATGATCCCAAGACTCCCAGATCTATATGATCCAGCACTAGCCTCTCTCCTGAGCTCTAATCCTACATTTCCAACTACCTATTAGATATTTTAAAATAGACGTTCTATACGCATCTCAAACTCATCATGTACAAAATAGAACTTATTTATTTATTGCTAAACTCATCTGTGCTGAACATATCTCCAAACCCAAGTCTCTGCTGAACTTCCCTATTACTTCCAAGGACACCACAATCAATCTAGTCACCTAGGTTCACCACTTCAGGATCAAACTTGACACCTCCCTTATACTCATCCCATATGTCTGATTGTCCTTTCTACCTCTACACCTTTCATTTATGGCACCTTCTCTCCACTATCACATCTACCATTTCTTGCCTGAACTACTATAACTGATTCTTAATTGGTCCTCCTACCTCCAGTCTCTCCCCACTCCAATATATCCTCCATGTAGTTGTCAGGTCTGCCCCTGTCAACCTTTAAATAAATATCAATGGCTCACTATTTCCTCTAGATCAAATATAAACTCTATTTGGGATTACCTTTCTACTCTTCTTATGAATTACTCATCATTTCCCACCTGGCTGTTCTCTTGGACTTCATGATCTCCAGAAATATATTACAATGCAAAATGAAATCAAATCTGAAATTCACACTTCCTCAGCACCTTCTGCCCCTAGGGCCCCTCTCTCCCTCTTGCTGGAGAAGGGTAGAGGCAGGATGGACATCTGGGAGCTCTTCTTGGATCCTCTGCCTTTTAAGAATGGTACCCAGGGAATTCTCCTCATCCTATCCCACCTGGCTGCTCCTCTGGACTTCATGATCTCCAGAAACTCATCATTCTACAAAATGAAATTAATTCTGTAACTCATATCATCTCAGATCATTTCTTACCCTGGCTGTAGGATATCATTATGACCCTGCACTGATGCACTGAGTACCCTTTTTCCTCCCCTGCTTTCAGCTTTTTTTATATTTCTCCCCCCATTCCTTTAGATTATGAGCTCCCTGAGCACAGAACTATCTTATGCCTTTCCTTGTATCTTTAGTATTTATCTTAGTATTTAGTATTTAGCATAGTGCCTAGCACATAGAAAGTACTTAATAAATGTTTATTGCCTGACT